ATACAGTTAAAGAGGTTTAATATGTATTAATTTGATTATAAACCTTATCATTTCGTTAGAGTGCTGTGAGTGCACTATTCTGTTCTTCTGAAAGGCTGTATTTAAATTTCTGCCGTGTTTTGTCTGTGGCAAACAACTCAATTGCTTATCATTGCAAATCTCATCACGTAAAGTGTTGTTAGGACATGGGGTTACAATAGCTATGTTTTCATCCACCTATTTTATGCGCATTTTGCAAATGCGCATAAAAAAAACAGTTGATGGAAACGCCATGATGTGCATAAATTTTGAAAATGCGCATAAAAAACGTTTGCGCTTAACTGGGTAGGATAAACTTTTTATTCGATAAGAAAAGATGCGCATAAACTGCGATGGAAACACTTTTACCGCACAAACTCCAGCATGCGCATTAAAAAACGTCATGTGATTTTGTTAAAAGAGATCATGTGATGCTTAAAATGTGTGTGAATGGATAAAACGTCAGGCTGAGCACATTATAAAACATCTGAAATGTTGTTTTGGTCATTATAAAATGTCTTACCATTTCAGTAATAATGTTATTATATTATTAATGACCTCCAGAATCAAGAGCGTCTGTGCTCCGCGTCTGACACCTTCAAACGCCACTGCGCGCTCACTGCTTGTCAGGATTATCTTCTGAGGCGCATTCATTTAGAAAAGATTGATGCACCTTCTCCTACTGCAGCAAATAGTTTTTACTGTTGATATTTGGCGTCAGTTAATCAGGAAGTGGCGATTTTGTTCGCTTTGACTCATTGAATGGAAACGATGCTTCATTCGGACAACATTTAAAGCGATCTAAAAAGTTCATATCAATACGTTTTCTCTTTGCACCACCAGATGGCAGTCTTTGTACTTTCATTTCGAGGGTGCAGATTGCATAAGTTTTATTAATATATATATATAACTTTATTTATTTTATTAATAACTATAACTTTATATATATATATATATATATATATATATATATATATATATATATATATATATATATAGCTAAAAATATATTTACTATTTTTCCAAGTGTATATAACTACTAATGTAAGAAAATATCAGAATTCGGTACATACTTTCTGTATTATCTTTGCTTGAACTGAGCCGATCTAATCCTGTTTATATAAATTGAACCTGCTTCCGATCAGGTTTGAGCTAGCAGAACTGAAGAACGAAGAACGAAATATCCAAATCCAGCTAACTGAGTAATCCACATACGAAGAACGGACCCCAGACCAGTTGATTAGCCACAACTAGGCAAGTGAGTTGGTAATGAGCAATAATGTATCTGCTTAACTATATCCTGATAGTCTCAATGACTTCATCCTGACCACATTTTATTAATTTGTTCCCTTATATTTCCCCCCTTTTATGTCTTTAAAATGTTAGGTTATGATAGGCATGGGCTGGTATAACATTCTGACAATATGATAACCTTGGATAAAAATATCACGGTTTCATGGTTTCTGCTCTAAAATATATTCTTTTTAAATGTCTGGGTAAAAAACTAAAACTTTTTCCTCCTTTGAACACAATAAATTTGATTTTGAGAAAGATTTAAAATATTTTGGGGTAGTAAACATGTCAGACTGAATAATTTAAATGAATCATTGACTTCTGCTGTCTTCATTGCTTTCTACAACCCAGATTTCTTTACGATTTTAAACAGCATTTTTGGATATCTTTTATGCTGGAGATATTGTTGTCCTAAAAAAACAACAACAAAAAAAACTTTTAAAAAAATCTTACATATACTGTATGAATGGTATAGCAGGTTTTAAAACCGCTGTATATCTTGAAAACAGTTATCATCCCATGCCTAGAAGACATATCCATTTTTTGTGGTTGTGTTTCCTAAAATCCTCTTTCCTATTGTGTAATCTAATCTACCAGCAAAACACACTAAACTTGTAACTTCTACTACTTAAAAAATCTTTAAAATGCCAGGAATGAACACAGCAGGTTACATTTAGAGCTTGCGTGCGTCTACTCGCCTTTCAAAAGTGTCCTCTGTGAGCCAGAAAGAGAGTCTGTGCGTCTGAGAAGGTGGCAGAAAGTCAAAAACACACTTCCTATCTCTCCAACCCAATACATATAACAGCTAAACTAAAGCTGAGTCATGACACCTGGCATTTTCTGTGGATGTGTGTGGTCCCAATTCAAAGGAGCTGCCTACCTGTACAGCACTTTTGAGTATGATTGTGTCATACAGCCTGTCTAGATATCACTTTTCATATGTCAAAACCTTGTAGGCAACTTCTTTGGCATTTTGGGCATCACCTAGATGTACTTTTCTGCAGTCATAACGCCTCAGAGTGCTGTCCAGTTGGGTGGTCGTGCAAAACAGAACATTATCATTGACAATAAAGACTCTTGTTTTATAGCCAAGCAGAATAGCATTTAAACATATAAATGCACGACACAAATGCTGGATAGTTCATAATTTATAAGTTTGTGAACATTGTGCTAATAGGTTTTCTGCATAAATGTTTATTCAGATTCAACGAGTTGTTAGTACACCGTCAAACAATTAATACATTTGCTAAGCACGATACAAGAGTAAACCACGGTTAATCTATGGCACGTATAAAAAAGGAAAATAGTGTAGAAACAAGCTCTTACCAGAGTAAACGAGACGTACGTGTTTGACGGACCTGTAGCTCCTCTGTCTGGTACAGTAGATCTGTCTGCGGTTTGTTTTCCTGGTTTGACGTATGGACTTCGCATTGACAGTAACGTCACGTGATGATGTAACCATTTTGTTAGTCATAAAACGTTATTCAGGTTAATTGTTATTTCATAGCTTTCTCGTCCAGTCAAATGTTTAAGGAAGTAAGTGACGTACTTAGGAACATTGCATGCACGAACACCACGAACAACTTAGACCTCGTTGCAATCGTCAGGAAGATGGCGCTATTGCTTTTCCATGCAAGTTGTTATCAAACAATACACAATGTTACATGCTGTCTGAATTACAGAATTCAGAAGAACACACATTGATTTAAATGATCTAATTTTGCACAATTTGGGCTATTAAAATTAAAAATTAGCTATCGTTAGCATAATAATACATATTTATTCTTTTAGATGTCACTGACCCTGGGATATTATTGTTTTTGTGCAAGGGCTTTTGTACAGTTGTGAAAAGTGTAAAATAGATATCATAATGTTATATTATTACAGTATATATATACAATCACTGGCTACTTTTTTAGGTACACCTGTCTTACTGCTTGCACATGGTAGCAGCTCAATGCATTTAGCCATGTAGACATGTTCAAGACGGACTGCTGCAGTTCAAACCAAGCATCAGAATGGGGAAGAAAGAGGATTCAAGTGACTCTGAATGTGGCATGGTTGTTGGTGCCAGACAGGCTGGTCTGAGTATTTCAGAAACTGCTGATCTACTAGGATTTTCACGCACAACCATCTCTACTAGACTGGTCCGCGCTGATAGAAAGGCAACGGTAACTCAAATAAGCACTCGTTACAACCGAGGTCTGCAGAAGAGCATCTCTAAATGCAAAACATGGTCAACCTTGAGGCGGATGGGCTACAGCAGCAGAAGACCACACCGGGTGCCACTCCTGTCAGCTGAGAACAGGACACAGAGGCTACAATTCACACAGGCTCACCAAAACTGGACAAGAGAAGATTGGAGAAACGTTGCCTGGTCTTATGAGTCTATTTCTGCTGCAACATTCGGATGGTCGGGTCAGAATTTGGCATCAACAGCATGAAAGCATGGCTCCATCCTGCCTTGTATCAATGGTTCAGGCTGGTGGTGGTGTAATGGTGTGGGGGATATTTTCTTGGCACACTTTGGGCCCATTAGTGCCAATTGAGCATCGTGTCAACACCACAGCCTACCTGAGTATTGTTGTTGACCATGTCCATCCCTTTATGACCACAGTGTACCCATCTTCTGATGGCTACTTCCAGCAGGATAACGTGCCCTGACTGGAGCAAAATCTCTGAGGAATATGTCCAGTACCTTGTTGATTCTATGCCACAAAGGTTTAAGGCAGTTCTGAAGGCAAAAGGGGTCCAACATAGTACTACTTAGGTGTACCTAATAAAGTGGCCAATGTGTGTAGTTTTGTATATTAATCTATAAATAAAAAGAAGTTTAAATTAAAACTTTTTTTAAATTAGAAAGAATATATCTATCTATCTATCTATCTATCTATCTATCTATCTATCTATCTATCTATCTATCTATCTATCTATCTATCTGTCTGTCTGTCTGTCTGTCTGTCTGTCTGTCTGTCTGTCTGTCTGTCCGTCCGTCCGTCCGTCCGTCCGTCCGTCCGTCCGTCTGTCTGTTTCATTACATATTTTTATATTATACTCATATTATTAATGTTATTTTATTTATTGTTGTTTATTCATTTGTTTTTACAATTTAAAAATGATTTTATACACATGTAAATGCCATTAATCAATTAATGCAATATGTATACTGTTTCACTGATCCATTTTATGTAAAAACACAACTAATTTATAAAATATTTAATTAACGTTTTTATCAATTATGTTTTTACTATTTTTAATTATTTGTTTATTTGTTTTTACATTCAGAACACCTTTACAAGCACCATTACTCAATCAGTAAATGTATACACATGCGTTTCGGAAATTTTTAAGTGAAAATGCGTAATTTTAGTTATAAAAGTAATTAATAAATCATTTGATTGATGTTTTAATCTATATTGTTGTTACTATTTGATCAATAAATTTATTTATAATATTTATTTATTAAAAAGTTCGTAATTACTTATAATAAGACAAATACGTCATATTAATATGATCCTATTCAAAACCGTTAATCAGACTGAGGAGCTCGTGATTCGAATACTGCGTCATTAACGGACATAACGAACATCATTAGATTATCACCGATCATAAAAAGTGGATAATAACAAATATATGTTCATCTTGGACTTGCTTACATGTTATTTAACACTTAACGTAATTGTTTTGCTCTGTATTCCGCAAACTGCTCCTGTGTGTGTGTGTGCGTGAGCGCGTATGTGTGTGCGCGCACGCTGGTGCTTGAGTGCGTGAGCGCGAGAAAGAGGAGGTTGTTTCTGTGGACCTGTACGGTGTTTTTTCTGCTTAATTTCTCACGGAAATGTTACTCCACCTTGTCTCCGTTGCAGAGCCATAAGTGAATGGATGGAGCATGTTTTCGGTAAGCACTGTATTATTGTTATTATTTGCGTGTATATGTGTGAATGAGCTGTAGTGATGATATACACCGCAGTTACAGCAAATACGACTGCCTGACGGGAGCGTGTGTCATTCAGGGTAATAACATGGCCTTATATTTTATCTATTCTAGTGAAAATATCATGTATAAAATGCCTATTTGTTTTACTCGTCGGTCTTATTATTCACCTAAATGCCACTTAAGGCTGTTTAATTGACTATAGGCGTTCCTCTATTGGGATGTTGGGTGCAACTGAGGTTACAGTTGAGATCTCATCCTCAATTTGGTCATTAAATAAAGGTACTTTTTAATGTGTTCACACTGTTTGTGATCATAAATGATTTAAACTTTAATATTTTATGTGACAAATCATTTTTATATGAAGGGATAAATATAACATTTCTATTTAAAATAAATATAGTGTTGTAATGTTATTACAAATAATACATACAGTTCATTGGCACCAGTTTAATACATTAATATGTTTTATAAATAATTGAAATTATAATTAAACTAAATATATTGTTGTTGTTACCTGGTATAATTCATATTATTATTAAAACATCGTCATTCTTATGTACAATAATAACGTAATAATAATTTATTGTAATGTTGTTGTTATTATAAATCATATACTCATGCATCAATATACTATCCAAAACATAACATTATACATATTATTTACCAAAATGTCTTATTGTATTGTGTTATCATATCAGCTTTCTATAGTAATGCATCACCATATTACGTATTTATATATATATATATATATATATATATATATATATATATATATATATATATATATATATATATATATATATATATATATATGTAAACAATATTTATATTTAATATAAACGATAGCATATATTGTTATATAATATTAAATAATTAGAAAGAATATTTATATTATATCATAATATTTGTATGATTATTAATATTATTATTGTTATTAATATATTTATTATTCTAATTGTATTATTTATAATATATATTTATTATTATTATTATTATTATTATTATTTGTTTTTATAGTTTTTTATTCCTGCATCAATTTAGTATGCAAAATACAACATTACTAATTATTTAATAAAATTTACTATTTTATTTATTTCTTTAAGATTAAATTTTCAGATTTTTGTCACAGTTAACAAACAAAAGTAAAAGAGAAAATAAAAGTACCAATAGAAAATTAATAAAAATATATAACAGTACAAAACTGATTTAAAAAATAAAAATAATCCACACTATAACCCTCTTATTGTGCAACACACAATATATGATGTACTTCATAATTTAAACTTTAATATTTTATGTGACAAATAATTTCAAATGAAGGTTTTAATATTGAATTTCTATTTAAAATAAATACAGTGTTGTGATATTAATATAGATATTACATATAGTTCAGTGTCTTCAACATATTACATTATTATGTTTTATATATTATTTAAAATATAATAAAAACTAAATATATTGTTGTTACCTGCTATTAAATATTATTATAACATCGTAATTTTTAGGTACAATAATAATGTAATACTTTATTGTAATGTTGTTGTTGTTGTTATTATAAATCATATACTCATGCATCAATATACTATGCAAAACATAACATTATACATATTATTTAACTACATTTTTTTATTGTGTTATTAGCTTTCTATAGTTTATAGCTTTCATATTTCTGTTATCTTAATATTACATAATTAGAAAAAATATATAATATTTTTATTATTAATATTATCATTGATATTAAAATATTTATTATTCTATTTGTATTATTATTTGTAATATATAATTTTTTTTTATTATTTATTTTTTATGGTTTTTAGTCCTTCATCAATTTAGTGTGCAAAACATAACATTACAAATTATTTAATAAGGTGTACTATTTTATTTATTTCTTTAAGATTTATTTATCAGATTTTTGTCACAGTTAACAAACAAAAGTAAAAGAGAAAATGAAATTACCAATAGAAAATTATTAAAAATATATAACAGTACAAACTGATTAAAAAATAAATAAACCACACTATAACCCTCTTATTGTGCAACACACAATATATGATGTGCATAAACAATATGATGTGCATTCATTTTACAAATTAAGCAAATAAACAAGTCAATATATAATTAATTTATTTATTATTATTGTTTTTTGTCCAGCAGTCGTGTTGGGTCAGTAAGTCAAATGCCTGCTGACTTTCACAACCGCTGTACATCTTTTCTTTTAACTACCAGTTCAGGTAGTCTTTAATGTGAAGATGCCAGAAATGTTTGTTTCAGTGATATTTCTCTGGTGTTTATTTTCAACACATACCTTCCCACACACAAAACAAGTGCATCACAGCTGCACTCAGTGTAATGTCCCACCAAGCCTTCACAGCATTGGTCACAAATCATCATGTAATGTAAAGCTAGCATATGGAAGGACGCCGCAGCCATGCAGCTCACCTGTGCTGATGGCATGCATGCAGCGCTGCAGTTTTCCCCCGGAGACAGTGTGTGTTTCCAGAGAACGGACGGGTTTCCTGGCTGCGCCTCCGCTGGGTCCTCATTAGGACGATGTGGGGGAAGATACACGCTCTGCGTCAGACATTAAAAAAACAGTAAGAACTAAAAGACAATTATACTGCGCTGCGTGACCCACATGATCTGATCATCTGCGATGCTTTCCAGCACAAGTAAACAAGCTTTTAAGATCTACAGTATAGCTGTAGGGGAGCGTTTTGTTTGGGATATCACCATTTATCTGCCACTTTGTTTACTCGGAACTCAATCAGATCACGATGAGATTATATTGTGCTGAAATGTATAGTATTATCTCGTCTGAAACTGTTACAATATAAATGGTTGATGAGGATTTACATAACTCCAGTTTTATTGCATAAATATAATAAAATTATTCCAGACACTTGCTCGAGATGTAGGGACCTTAAAGGAACGTTGTATCACTGTATATGGGAATGTAGAGGAATATAGAACTTTTGGAATGTGTGAAAGAAATTATAGAAAATATTCTTGAGGTTAACATAGCAATGTCTCCTTTAATTTTTTTTATCTCATTTATATGCCAAGGAGATCAAGTTTAAAAAGACGGAGCATATATTTATGAATGCGTGTATTCTACAAGCGAAACGGCTTATTTCTTTAAATTGGAAAAGTATATGTGCACTAACTATAGGCTGTTGGCTGAAAGAGATGGTAACAAACATGACAATGAAAAAATGACTTATATGATAAAAAAATAGATGCATCGTTTTTGATAGAGTTTGGGGACCCTTTTACGCAGTTTTTAAAAGGTGGTGGATTTGGAAATGTTTTACTAGAAGATTATTAACAGAGGTGATATTGTATTCTGATGTAAAATACTGAGAAGCCTTTGGTTTTGTTTTGTTTGTTCATTTGTTTGGTTTGTGTTGGATCTGACACATGGAAATGTGTATTTACATGTTAAAATCTGAAAAAGGAATTGGGAAAAAAGGTAATGTATTGTTATTTGACTTACTTATTTTTGTGGTGGTGTTTTTCAGAGAAACCCTTAGGACCCGTCGGAGATGGCCTGGTGTTATGGCAATCTGGAAGAAGGACGTTCATATTGGTTAGTGCAGACTCTAAAGGAGTATTAACATATCTACACACATGTGCATGCATTGTTTGGAAATTAAACACAGCAAAGAATGTTTTTCTTGAACTGTAAAAAATGATGGGTTGCACACAGTGTTGTCATTAATTGTTTTTGTTGTCCAAAAAAAAACCCTCAAGAATTGTGCTGATGCAGCTAATTTTAAATAAGCAGTTAAAAGTACAAGCAGCAAAAAAAATATTTATTTATTCATTTTTAGTCCAAATAAAGGATTCGAGAAGAATTCGATTAAGATTAAATCAAGAGAATAAATCAAGAAGCATTTTAGTAAAATACATTATTTTCTTCTAAGAAATAGTAGGTGAAAATTAAGTGAGTTTTCTGTTAATACAATCTAAATATTGTCAAATAATCTGATTGTCAGTTTAAAATAAGTGTATTTTACTTACCCCACTGGAAAATAGTTAAAATCTTGTTTTTAGGAAAAACTAAAGCTTTACTTAAACTTAATTTCACCTTATTATTTCTGTAAACAAAACAATATTTTATTTTATTAATGATAATATTAATAATATAATAATTCCTTATTTATATAGCACTTTTCTGGAAACTCAAAGCACTTTACACATTTTTTGGGGGGAATCTCCTCATCCATCACCAGTGCGCAACATTCACCTGGGTGACTCGATGGCAGCCATATTGTGCCAGACCGCACACCACACACCAGCTGATTGGTGAAGAGGAGAAAGACTAAAGCCAATTATAATATGGGGATGGCTAGGAGGTCATGTTGGACGTAGGCCAGTGGGCAAATTATGCCAGGATGCTTGGGTTAAACCCCAACTGTTTTTTGAAGGACATCCTGGGATGTCCACATAGAGTCATGACCTCGGTTTAACTTCTCATCCGAAAGACGGTGCTCACTGAGCAGTATAGAGTCCCCTTCACTATACTAGGGCGTTAGGACACACGGAGACCGCAGGTTGAGTGCCCCCTGTTGGCCTCACTAACACCACTTCCTGCCTGGGTCGCCAACTTATCCAGCTTATGTTTTACGCAACGGATGCCCTTCCAGCTACAACCCAGTACTGGGAAACACCCATTCACTCTCACATGCACACACATATACTACAGGCACTTTAGTTGACCCAATTCACTGTAGCACATGGTGTTTGGACTGTGGGGGAAACCAGAGCATCTGGAGAAACATGCAAACTCCACACAGAAATGCCAACTGACCCAACCAGCGACCTTCTTGTTGTGAGGTGAGCCACCGTGCCACTGATTTGGCTTCAGTACTGGCTGATCTAATATATATCCACAAATATAATATTGTAAAGCGTCCTATAGAAAATCTGAATTTAAAAGAGATATTTGTGAGGGATGTACTCATATTTGCTGAGCACTGTATATTACATAGAACAGGGGTTCTCAACTGGTTTGACCATGGGACCCACATTTTTACATGGTCAAATTTTTAGGAACTATTATACAATTTTAGGAATTATTATTAATTTGTATTAATTTGTTAACATAAACAAGTTGTGACAGATACATCATAAGAAATTCACCAACACTTACAAATAAACACTATTTTATTGCTGTCATTATTGATCCATTATATAAAGTTCGCTTTAAACGGTTTGTTAAATATGAGACCCAATATCTTTCCACATTTGTTGTGAGCTGCTGGCTCAACGCAATCTCACGGAAATTCGTAACTTTTTGCTTTAGTGACTAATTCGTATAAATTTGTACGATCTAATTTGTACAATTTAATATGATTTACTCATCACCCAATGACGGTTGGGGTTAGGGGTGGGATTGGGTGCCACACTTCCTTTTTAAAATCGTACATTTTCATACTACTGAACTTGTACGAATTCGTACGAGTTAGCCACTTAACTGACAAAATGTAAAATACTTTGTTTCCTCGTGAGATCAGGCTGTCTGTGCTGACACATAGGCATTGGTAGCTCCGCCCTCTTTTGAAAAGAGCATAATCTCATTTGAATTTAAAACGACAGAAATTCACAAAATAGATCAAATTATAGAAATATTACAAAGCAAAAACCACAAATACTGTTAATAATAAACTGTTGATAAAACATGTTGTCTGGTTTCTAAATGTTGTTTTAATTTAGAAGGTTTCATGCTCTCTTATGAGAGCACCTCACTACATATGACACTGAGGCTTTAAGTCTTTTTTGTCGTCAATATATATCTATACTTTCCATATTCTGGGTCGTACTTGGTCTTCGACATATTTATTGCAATAATTAAATGAAATTTCACATGTTAAACAGTAGGGTTGTCGCGCACGCATTTCAAAATAAAAGCCAGGTATAAGCAAAATAAGTAAAAAATTTAACTTTTGTTGTTTTGTTTGACCACACACTCCGCGACCCACAGAAAATGCAATCCACCAGTTAAGAAAAACTGATATAGAACACCTCTTTTGCTTCATATTAAAATAATATGCTTTAACATTTTAACATTAACATTAAATGCCAATAACATTTCAATATGATTTAAAAATGTAAGGTTCAGCATTTTTCTTATCATTTTTGTAGTGAAATGAATGCTTTCTCTAAGGCCGTTACTTCTCTTTAACAGTAACCTACACTGAAACCTAGTCGCATGATCAACTGTAGACACTACAAACCACCGGACAACTGCAGTGTTTAGCAGTTCAACAGCTCAAATCCGCCACAACAAAGACCTGCTCTCATATAGTCCATACTTAAGTTCTGCGTTTAATGCTTATTGTTAGCAACAGAATTCATCTACGCCATGTGTTTGAGCCGAGGTCTTCAGCTCTTCTCAGGTCTTGTTGCCTAGAAACCTTGATGACACCCCCCTTGTGCGATTGTTGCCGCTGCTCTTGGCTTCACTTGCACACAAACAAATCAAACTCGTTTGTATCTCCAGAAATAGTTCATTATAATGCTTTTTTTTCCGTCTTCCTCTTCTATTCGCATCACCCATTGCTCAATTATCGTCTTATGTTCTGGCCCTATGAGATAAAGCAGTCACCTTGGTGCTGACGTGAAGATGCACTACATGTTTGTGTGTGTGTGATTATGGGAAGGAAAAAGGTAATGGATCCGCCAGTGACGTAAAGGTTTGCCTACTTGACTTTGTGTATACCGCAGATCGCTTCTTGCCTTTAGGCTTGCAGAGGCAGTTCATCTTTTAAAATAAAAATAAATAAACTGGACGACTGGATGGAGATCATAGCTGTGGGGACATGCGTGTGATACCTGCAGGTATTGTTTTGTGTGTGTTTTACATTGCTAGTTGTTGTAATACGCTCCTGTTTAAAGAGAGAAGTTGGGAAGGCAGTGATGAAAGAATGCCCGGCTTTTGACATTTTTGTTGTGTGTTGTCAGCGTTTGAGCGGTCAAATACACAAACAGGAAGAATACACACGCCTCCATGTGTTAGTCACTACAACACTTGTATGGTAATTTCCATAATTGCTGAAATGTCTGTTAAGGAGAGTGCAAGAGAGGAAGGCTTTATCTTTAGAGCTAAAATTGCTAGTGAAAAGTTGTCATTGCTTTATGCCGATGTAAAGTTAGTTAATCAAGTCGGTGAAGTAACTTTTTGTAGATATAGTTGAAGTCAGAATTATTAGCCCCTGTTTATTTTTTTCCCTAAATCCTGTTTAACGGAGAGACGATTTTTTCAACACATTTCTAAACATAATAGTTGTAATAACTCATCTCTAATAACTGACTTATTTTATCCTATTTAGCCATGATGAGAGTTAATAATATTTGACTATATATTTTTCAAGACACTTCTATACAGCTTAAAGTGACATTTAAAAGGTTAATTAGATTAACTAGGCAGGTTAGGGTAATTAGGCAAGTTATTGTATAATGATGGTTTGTTCTGTAGACTATCGAAAAAAATTAGCTTAAAGGGGCTAATAATTTTGTCCTTAAAATTGCAGGGTTCAACGCTAAGGATTTTTTCTACTGGCCCGATCGGACCAGTGGTTCAGATTTTTACTTGCCCCTTATTGCCCCTTTTTGTCACTGGCCCCACCAAAAAATAGCTATTTCTTAGCCACAAATAAAAAAAATGTCAAAATGTTTGTAAATCTAGAATTTTAAATATTTAAAAAATGTTAATAAAGTGTTTTGCAAACAAAAGTAGCAAAATGTGCAGGTATTTTATTGCAAAACAAAAGATGACTGACCTGCCAAACTAACGGCAAACTTCACAAAACATCACTTAATTTTTTTTAGTCGTGGTGAACCCTCGTAAATGTCTGCTTTCAATACGTTAGAGACTAATGTTTTCCTTTAGCATCATCACTTGATGTTGCCGCCATGTTGCTGTCTCTTAGCCTTACTGGTTGTTATGGTATAGCTTACATGCTCACAACATCCAATCAATTCAGCTTTCAATTCAGCTTTATTTGTATAGCGCTTTTACAATGTAGATTGTGTCAAAGCAGCTTCACATAAATGGTCATAGTAACTGGAACAGTGTAGTTCAGTTTTTAGTGTTTAAGTTCAGTTCAGTTCAGTTTAGCTCAGTTCAGTGTGATTTAATCATTACTGAGAGTTCAAACACTGAAGAGCAAATCAGATAAGAGGAACCAAGAAGGTACCATTTGAAGGCTTAAAAACACAAATGGTTTTTCTATTCTGACTGTATTTGCACGCAATTGACAAATAGTCACAGGCAAATTAAACTTTAGTGACAGGGCATTAGTGGCCCGATCGGGCTAGTAACGATCCTGTCTACTGTCCTGAGCATCTCACATGCTGGCCCCGGGCCATCGGGCAGTCCTTATTGTTGTGCCCTGAATTGTGTTTAAAAAATTTAACACTTTTTTATTCTAGCCAAATTAAAACAAATAAGACTTTCTCCAGAAAAAAAAACATTGTCAGACATTCTGTAACGACTTGGAGGGACACTGACAACAGAAGGTAGGATCCAAATGCAGGTTTAATCGTAGTCAGGCAAGCAATGGTCAAAACAGGTGTAGACAGGTA